TCAGTAACTCACGTCTACTTTGCTTTTTGTGAGGAACGAAAATACAAACGTCGGCGTTGGTTTTGTTCGCTAGTAACTGAATTGGTATCACTTTTTTTTTTTTTTTTTGTTTAGTAACTTTTATTCAAGACAACGCCTCGCGTTTTTTGTAGGTGGAACAACCAAAACAGCGAGAACTTCTCGCAAGCCCCCTCCGCGTCAAAATCTCCTGCATACGACCGACGATTCCCCCCAAAAGAACAAACACCAAGAGAGACGCAACGACGATGAGAAACTGATGTAGAAGAAGAGATGAAAGCTTGCAGTAAGGACATCAGAACGCCGAATTCTGTTCTGGCGTCCGGCGTTCAAACGTCAGACACTGCGCCAGCAGCACACGATGCTCCTGTTCGCTCTGATTGGAGGAAGACAGTGGGCAGTGACAAAGGCACTTACCCTTTGCGTCCATCCCCTATCCTTCCAATCAGAGCTCGGCACGATGAGGTCACCGCAAACTCTCCCCTCCTCTCTCATTCGGTTTCTCTCCGAATAACCAACAGGTATCGGTATAGCAGAAAGTGAAGACAGCTCGGATTTCCGGTGCGGCACCGCGATGCAAGTGTGGATTGGCGAGGCGTTCGTCTCTCTTCTTCCTAATCGGCTTACGAGAGGATTAGTGGCGCGAAAGAATAACGGAGCGGGATGAAAAGTTACACAACGCCGAATTACGTATACGTGCGGGCAGAAGCTATTGACGTAAGCTATAGTGTGTGTACGCGTGTCTTGCGGTGTTGGAAGTTGGAACCCGTCGCGGTCGACCACACCCGACGCCGGCACTGACACGAAGGGAATCTTGCATACGCCGGGAAAAACCCGCACCTCAATCTTTTTTGCTCGACGCTCGAAGGCAAAAAGACACAGAAAAGATTTTTCCTGACAGTGCCAACCTGTAAACCGTAACGAATCGGTGCCTCACACTCTTGGGGATGGTAAACATTACACGAAGCTACAACACCGGCTGATGTTTTTTGAATGTGGTTTCATACTACTTTATTAACGTTTGGCGTCTCCATTTTTGCTAACTAATTCAAGGCTTCGATTGACCTACAACAAGAATGCTACATGGTTAGGCCCAACATGCAAAAAATGTTACATGTATTTATTTTTTCGTCTCGTATTACAATCAACTATGCAAAATCTAGATCATGAAAACTACACAAGGAAAATGGGATCAGTGTGCGGCACCAAGTAATGTGAACTTTGGTGTCTAATATAACAATCAATGCCAACAGCGCTTGATGCAATGATGACTATGATGGCAGGACATTGCCTCTAGGCTCTAGGCGACCTGGTGACAATTGATCTTTGAAAAACCGCGAAACGGAGGTCTCAAGGATTTTCTGTTCTCAAACAAAAAAAGGGGGACACCATACACAAAAAACTCTGAGCATGGTGTCCCCTTGCTTTCTGTTTTCTTTAGCATCGAGGTTTTTCAAAGATGAATTGACACCAAGTCGTGTTTTGACATCATGTTGAGGCTGTAGCACTACGGGTTATCCGTAAATTTTTCAACCTTTGAAAAAAAAAAACGGTTCTTTTCAGTTGGGATGTGCCTATAACTCCTGCGAGCATACATGTTTCTTTATGAACAGTGGGCTTGTGTGAAGAATGTCTTCTCATAAAGGACCTTGGGGAAAACAAAAACGTTACTTCAAGGCGAGAAGAAGCTAAGTCTCTGGCGGCTGTCACTCTCAGATTTTCAAAAGGTTCTCTTAAAGTTCGTATTCCAACCAACGTTAATCTTAACTTGCTTCAAATGACATACAAAAAACTGGTTAGGCTTTCAGCCAATCAGGGCTCCCCACGAAACAAAGATTATTATCTAGTATGGTTCGATACCGATACTCTTGGGTCTCCCGAGTGACTCTGAAGGAAAAAAAATAAAAAGAAACAAGCCAGTATGTGGATGATCACTCCATGTGACTAGCTAAGGAAGACACCCCCTCTCCCTGTAAAATTCATACAACAAAAAAAAAAAGCAACTGCAATGCTTGTTCTTAACAAAGCACCAACGAGAGAATCGAAAGCGGTGTTTTGGCGGGTCATTCCTAAAGTATCAAACTCGCGGCTCTTCTTTCTTTTTGTCTTCCTTCAGCGCTCTGGTTTGCACTTGAGAACAGAAACAAAAGCTCGCGAATAGATGACCACCGTCGCTTTCCGGTTACTACACCTTATCAAAGCCAGCAGTTGGGTTACGCCACTAATTACAGTCCCTTAGGTAGCTGCGCGCCGCAACTTCAAAAGTAGCCTTCGCTTTCTTCTGAGCCATGGTCAGCCTTCAGTTAGCTCAACTAACGAGCAGCGGACTCCAGGCGAGGTTTTCGCGACGGAAAGGTACAATCACGAGGTCTTTCCGCACACCTCTCTGAGCATGTCCTCCCAGGTACACAGCTGGCTTTATGGAAGATCTTGCTTCCCGAGCTCGCGAAGGACTATTTCTAAATGGGGATGTCACAAATTTTCGTCCGACTTGACGTTCGACTTCGAATATTGTGGTTCGACTGGTTGAGCAAAACTTCCAACTTTCGACAAAACTCGAGAAGGTTCGAGTCTACAACAGACATCGTTAATAATAATGTATACCGGAGGTTTTCTTTTTTTTTTAATATATTATACATAATAAATATAAACACAAACATTTTCATGATTTCAATAGCTCGTTAATGTCTTTAATACGAAGCACAATGCACACCATAAATATTGCACCCCTTTTACGCTAGGCGGCGTCAGCTCGTTTTCAATTTCCGAGCGTCCGCATAATGTTCGAACATCAGTCGCACTTTTGTCGAGCTTTGTGTCAAAAGTTCTACAAAAGTCGAAAGTCGCTCAGGTGGCGCTGCTGTCTGGCACGGCGCATGCGCACGCACTTCACCTCGCGTGAATCTGGTTTCTGCGCACGGGCATTGTAGACAGCGTGTTGACGTATATATATATATATATATATATATATATATATACAGTGCAACCTACTTATAACAAAAGCCCGAAAATTCAATCGTATAGAAAACGATCGTTTCTAGTCAAGAAACTCTAAATAGAAATTCACCGTTATAAGCGGGCTGTCGTTATATGCGGCATCGTTATAAGTGGATTGCACTGTAGTTGCAGACACTCGTACCCGTCACCGATGCTGTCACGTAAGCGCCACCAAAAACGGCGAACGGCCACGTCCGCTGCCGATACGCAAGCACATAGGCCACAACGGAAAGTGCCTCTCGTTCATAATCACAGGCAGCGCCCGTTAATAAAACTTACAACGCCTCTGGACCTTTCCCGGATCTTTACGACGGTGCAGTTGTTTTTCTTAGAGTTCCGATCAAAACGAATTCGAGATCTATATAACGCCTAGCAGATGATCGCGCTCCACTCGAATAGCAATCAGTTGTTTTCGATTCGAACCGGATGTCCGCAACGCCTTTTTATAATGTTACAACATGCGCGTGGGTAAAAAGAAGGGCCCGCGAAACTCGATAAACGAAAATCTCCATCGCAACAAGAGCCGCTACCATTCACCATGGAGTGAGTTACGTAAGTGAGCCCAGGAGCGACCTTAAATGGGTATTTATTTAATTAGACCTAATTTATAACTAGACCAATTTAATTGTACTTGGAAAGACGGCGTACCCCCAGTAGGATATCTTTAATGCATTACTTTCCCGCAAATACTTGCGGCCTCTCATGCGAAGCAATAACTAAGAGATGTTTATGATACATTTGCATTTCCTAAAAGTAAGCCTGTCAATGTTGACAAGAGAAGGGGAAAGTGTTGCCAGGGGCGAACACAATAGGTTGTATAGGCCATTAAAGTTCGTTCTGCGTGGGCGGTATATGCACTGCCGCTGAACGCGCGCGCACATCTGTGAACACGAATTCCGCCCGGATACTGCTTACCGATGTTCCCTCGCAGTGTGTTATATTTATGACTGTATGATCCTTGAAGCGTACGCCTTAATCAAGGTTTCTCTTTCCAACCATTTGCTGAGGATATATGCCTGTTTGCTCGAGCAAATTACCTCATTGAGTGATGGGACCAAGTGCCGCAGCTTTTGGGAGTGTTTCGTTGAAGCTTTGCTCCTAGCCTGGGTTATGAGGGTCAGTTAAGCTTGTTAACACTTCCCCTTCCCACCCGTCAAGTAGTCCAAATCAAGATTGGTAATATTACAAAGTATCACCAAACAAGCGATGCTTAAATTATCGGCACTTCATTTCCCAATTTTCTTGCGGGTGCCGTTTTTTTTTTTTTTTTTTTTTTTTGCAGCTTAATTAGTGCGTTACAAAAGGGGACGTGCTGAAAGTTGACCAGAGATTGAATTAAGGCGTGTTTGAAGCATATTGCATTCACTATTACACCCTCAGTACCAAGAAGGAGGATATAGTATGTACACCTCCGTCTCCGTTTGCTCCTCCATGAGCCTAATATTTGCACAACCTACAACCTTACTGGAAATTTCGAGGAAATATTTCACTCGGCCTTACCCTAACCTAATAAAGCAAGATACGTGTTAGAGTCTTTTTTTTTTCCTCTTTGTTTCTTTTTTAGCGTGAAGAGATTTCTGTACGAAAAACTCGTGTCTGCTTTTAACACCTCGGCGTCATTATAGGGAGGCTTTCGTTTATCTTGAAATGTGTTGATGGGTGCCGTCGTGATGTGTTATTCTGAGACCGCAAATAACACAAAGTTAAAACTTATAGTTTTAAGATTGCACCGAGATGTATGCTAGCAAGAGCCGAGGAAGCCTGACGAGCGACGAACCCTGCTTACGTTGCGTTGCGCGACACGCGGCGTGATTTACAATTTAGACATCAAACATCGCTGCTTCTGAAAGGGAAGGGAGGCGTCAGAAGAGCATCCCATCCCTTCCCCGGAAACAAGACGGGTACTTTCCCCGCAGAGAAGGCACAGCGGCGACACCAGCGGCAGCATCGCGAAAGGAGCAGGCCGCCGAGGCGGTCAAGGTCCTGGCAACTTATAAGCCTGCCTAGTCGACGCTACGTTCGTTCAGTGTAGCGCCACGCGTCGACCGGTTCGCTGCGAAGACGACGAGGAGGCAGCCTTCGACATCATCCTCCGTGCAGCTTCCGCCTTGATCGGTGCTCCGCGCGCTCCTCCAGAACAGCGACCACGACCGGGATGATGTGGACGCCGGTGTTCTTGAGCGTACTGTTTTTGGGATTGGCATCGGCGCAGAGGAACAGTAATCGGGGCGGTGGTGCGGCCGTGCCCGTGCCTAGGGTGGACCGTAACCTCATGAACTGGGCTCTTGAGCAGGGACTAGAAACGTGAGTACGACTTTTCTCTGGTTCCGTGCGCGTCTTCGGTGACATGGTATACTCGGCCCTGGAAGTGCTGCTAGGTGTCACTCGGCGACTGATTAGGTACGATTATTCCAGTGAAGCTATGTGAAGTCTTTGTTGTCTAACAACCAACGACATAAAGGTGCGTGCACTGTTCACTCTTCGCGGTTTCTCTTGTACCAGGGCACTTCGGTGCAGGTTCCTTGGGGAGTGTACTTAGCTACGCGGGTAAATTGACTGGAGTGACTATGGATAATCATACATTTCTTATACAGTTTCGGGTAATGGTGGGAAGCGCAAGTGTGCTCTTTCTCATCTGGTGTAGTGAGGACTAAGATACCAATTTGTCCCTTATACGGCTGTTCTGCAGGCTGTGCGACATAAAGCTATCACTGATGATCAGTACAAATAGAACACTACGTTCAAGACATTCGGCTTTTCTGAGACCAGTGGGTCTCTCTGTATATCCCCGACCGTTGCGGAATTTTGTGGTGTACGTGTGCCTCGCTATCGACTCCAAAGCTGTGTACATTTCGATCCTCAAAGTTTTAGAGCGTAAGCTTTTAATTTTTTCGTGAGTCGTGACAGATTTAAAATCTAGTTGTTAGCATATTCGCTTATATAGGCCCAATGTGAGAAATGGATGCCCTGGTATACCCGACATTGTTACCGTCGGAGTCTGGTTTAATCGCGTTGACTCGTACATACACCGAATGAATGGACTCTTTCATTACGCTCTAAGAAAATGAAGCGAGAATGTTTGTTTAGTTGCTCTCAGTACAACTGTAAAGGGACTTTTTTTTTTTGTAACAATGACACAGCGTTGGGTTGAGGCACAGTCGTCAAAATGGCTAATAGCACCACACCAAAATGATCGGTATACAGTCACCAGCACTATCGAAACTGGTTATAACCAAGTCGGTTATAACGAAATAACGGCTACTGCGAAGTGATCACGATTTCCCATTTCCATTTGCACTTCGTTATAACCGAACTCGCTTATAACGAAATAGCGGATACAGCGAAGTTATTTCCGATTCCCGTTGACTTCCTTATAGCCGGTCTCGACAGTAGTTTGATAGATGTCCTATTCAACTTCTTTCTTCGTAAAAACGTTTCTGCCATTTTTATCGGCTAATTAAACCATCCCATTCTAAGTGACACTAAGATGTGCGGCACTCACCAAGCCATGCGTTTCCTAAATTGTCAGTGGCCGTAGTAACTCTAAGAACCGCCAATATATAGACCGAACAATAATTTTATTAGTTTCTTTATTATTTTTTTTTTATTATTTTTTTATGTCTAGATTAGAAAGCAAGAGTTAACGTTGGCGGCCTCGCCTGCCCCTACCGCGGCTCGTTGGCGCGACCACAGGAAGCACGAAGAAAGCGGGAAAGGTGTCAAGCGCTGGAACACGACGGCACTCGAAAAAGAAGTTCCAGGGCATGCCCGCGGATATTTCCCCGATAATTGCCGATCGTTTCGGAAAGAAGCTTAGCTTCAAAAGTTGTTTCCTAGCTTCTCCAGATAAGCCTGTTTGAAAAGCATGAATCTGTCATTAAATGCCCCCTTTGCCACTACTATTTTTTTTTTTTTGTAAAGTGATTTTTTTAATGACGGCCCTTTGTACTCGATTTCCGTACTGCTTGCTTGGAAATGTCCAGTGACATTCCTTCCGAAATAGGCCTTTTAGCGGTTGACAGCCAAAACAAAATACAAAAAAATTAAAATTATTTCTAATAGCAACCACTAACCTGTCTGGATAAGCCATGCTGAAGGCCGTTACTAACACCATAATCATCCCGCAGCGCCACAATAACGCAGGTTCAACGAGACACGAATTCAGCCAATTGCTGAAGCCAACTGCAAACAACACCGACCCTGCGTTTTTTATTGATGAGAGTAACCATACACTTTCACGTTTGACGTCGCGTACCTGCAGCGTTTGTTTTAGATATTTACTGATGAAGCTATCTCTGCTTCAAGAGCCCGAGTCGTTGACCTTTCACGAGGTCCTGACTAGGCTACGTTGATGACCTCGCCGGCTGCATTGGTTGCCTAGACCTTTGAATGGAATTCTTGATGTTTGAACTTGACGATATGGAGTGTACAAAAAAATGTCTGTCCTATTACCTCTTGCTGAGTCTTTCATTTTAACGTGGGGTGGCCAAAAGCACGGGCTATAACCCCTTGGCGCGGGCCCTCTTAAATCTAGGAATACAAAAAAGAAATAGAGAGTGTTGTCTTCTAAAGTTTTTTTTTAAACTCTCACAAGTTTTAGGGTTTGTTCACAAGCAGGCGGAATCAACGGCGTGCGCTCAGTTTTCTAACGTTTATTCTTCAAGAACAAAAACAAAATCGGGTGAGTTTTCGAATGACTTGTCAACACAAAAAGGGTACAAAAAGAAATCTTGGTTTAAGTGTCACAGTTTGCTCTAGCTGAAGGACTGGCCCCTAATTACGACCTACCTCGTCCGACCAGCGCGACAAACACTGAATTTTCGTTGGCCGCAAATCAGAAGCAGTTTTATGGACAACTCGAGAAACCGTACGCTCAGCACCTCTTGTTTAGAAACATATTTCATTACGGCGAGGTGGAGGCATTCAAATTTTCCAAATGTCAACAAGCTGTAACTTACATGTTTGAAAGAAGTGCTTGTTGATTGTTCCTTTATTGGTGTAGCTAGACCCTACACATGATCGAAATGACAGACATGTCTTGTACATTCCGAAATATTATTTCTGGAGAGTCGCTCTAGAACAATGCACTAAGCTCTTCACTTTGGTTTTCCTGGCCCATAGAAACAAAATTATAAACGTAATTATATTAACGAAAAGTAGCAATGTAAAATAAAACAGTCTGGAAGAACAGATTCAAAGAGAAAGCAATTTCTGCGCGCACGTGGATTGCTTGATCCGCAAACAAGATAAGTCAAAACATATATATTTAACGTCAGAGAGCGAAGTTTCATTACCTGACTTCATCGTGATGCAGATTTCATTTCACTCCAATCAGTCATAAACGTTATACAAACCTTTCGTGTCCGTGCTGATGTCTTTTTTTTTTATGTTGCTTGGCCGCGATAGTCGACAGGCGATACAACATAATAAAAACAACAAAAACACCCCTCGTTGCACTGTCGAACACCCCCAAATTAAATACTCGTGTCGGTGACCCCTGAAGTCAAAGAAATAATACAAACAAACAAAAAAAAAACTCCCAGGTAGATTTTTTTTTTTTTTTTACCCTTTCGCTAACATAAACGTCCGTCAGAACGGCACAATTTTCCCGCGATCCGAGCGCACGTAATAGCGCCACGAGGAGAAACCGGCAGCCACATTGCATTTTCACCCTACTTTAATTCCGCATCGTCGACGTAAGTGCATCTCCGCCTAAAATCAACCATTCGATTACTGTCACCAGTCGCTAAAACACGTCTTCTCCGCGCGGAAAGCTCAACAGACCTCAACTTGCACGCGTATCCAACGAAAGGTTAGCTCTTTCGGTTAACGTGCCACTCATCTATAGGGCCAGCAGAGGTCGGGCGTTATAATAAGTGGAGTGAATTGTCCATCTAGAACGGCCGCCCAACTACGTTTGCACCGCGCAGAAAGCCATCCATTTCAACTTACACGCGTATGCAATGAAACATCGGTTCTTTCGGTTAGGGTAACACGCATTTAGGGCAAAAAACCGTCGGGTGTTACAATAAGTGGAGTGCAGTGTGCATCTAGAACGGCTTTCGGGCCAGGAGGAAATGGAGTCGACCTGAACGCGCTGCACGCGATCTAAAACTGTCAATAGGTGAGGATCATCGTACCGCAGAATCTCTTATACGCGTGCGTGGTAATCATCTTTCAGACGTGGAGCGGTTTCGATCCCCTCGCTCTTGTAATGCTCTAGCGTCACTAGAGCAACAAACACCGCTTGTTGTTTTTCGCTGTAAAAAGAAAGAAAAAAAGCGTTTGGCCTTTTCAGCAATCTTCCCTACGGTACTGGCATTTTAAAACTTTTCTTTTCAGAGTAACGGAAAGATTTCTGTTTCACAATGTGGACATTAGGCGGTGCCAGCTTTCGGTGCACATTGAACTGATTAGATAGCGTAAGGCACCGCCCGAATTTAAAGAGTTTAGCCTTATGCATTCATCTATTCATTCATTTATCTCTCCAATTTAATAATAGGTTTCCATTTCAACTGTTCGTTTCGATCAGCCGTTTCTCTCCACTTCACGTGTGCGCCACCACATGGAGTTGCCTCATGTCGATATAGATATTGACAGAGAAAATAGATGGCGTCACTAACTGGGCACCATTGGCATTTGGTTACCAGGCTGAGCCAATTAAATCTCCACAGTTTAATAAACGCGCTACTCAGTTTCTCAGCTTAACGCGCGAACCGCAAAATGGCGTTAATTCATTTCGATTTGGACATTGATAAAGGAAGCACACCTCCGGATAATATGGGCTGAAACACCTGACCTTGACGCTCGCTGCACCGTTCCAACAGGCTCTATCATCTGTCAAATTATCAAAGAGCTCAAGCCTTGAGACCCCAACGGAGTGTTCCAAGTCAAGTTTGCACCAAAGCTTCTTGGGGGAAACTTTGAACCAAAGCTTCTTGGGTGAAAGTTTGAATCAAAGTTTCTTGGGTGAAAGTTTGAATCAAAGTTTGTTGGGTGAAAGTATGAACCAAATGTTTTTTGGTGAAAGTTTTGACCAACGCTTCATATGTGAAAGTTTGAACCAAAGCTTCATGGGTGGAAATTTGAACCAAAACGTCTTGGGTGAAAGTTTGAACCATATCCTTTTAGGTGCAAGATTGAAACCAAAGCTCCTTGCCTGAAAGTTTGACTCAAAGCTTCTTGGGTGGAAGTTTGAACCAAAGCTTCTTGGGTGAACGTTTGACCAAAGCTTCATGGATGGAAGCTTGAACCAAAGCTTCCAGGGCGAATGTTTGAACCAAAGCTTATTTGGTGAAAGTTCG